AGTTTGTCTATACTCCAATTTACCCAGTCTATCTATACCCCAATTTATCCAGTCTGTGTATACCCCAATTTACACAGTCTGTCTATACCCCAATTTACCCAGTCTGTCTATACCTCAATTTATGCAGTCTGTCTATACCCCAATTTACCCAGTCTGTCTATACCCCAATTTACACTGTCTATCTATACCCCAATTTACCCAGTTTGTCTATACCCCAAAATACCTAATCTGCCTATACCATGATTTACCCCAAATTACCTCTCTGTCTACCTCTGATTTACCTAGTCTACCCTGATTTACCCAATCTGTCCACCCCGTGATTTACCCAGTCTCCTTGTGCCCTGATTTACCCTTCTGTCTATCCCCTTCTTCACCCCTCTCTGTCCGTAACCTAAACTATTCAGTCTCAATATTTGTACCCTGAGTTGTTCTGTCTAAGTGTAGATACCATCAACGTCTTGGTGTATTTCCTACTTACAGGCAGATGAGTTTATCATTGAGGCAGTAAGTCTGAAGAAAGTGACGAGGGTGAGAATAGGACATGATGGGAGAGGTGGAAGTTGTGGCTGGTACCTAGACAAGGTGGTCGTCAAAGAGGAAGGAGCTCCAGAGGTGCAGGCTGTGGAATTCCCGTGTTACAGGTTATAAATTTTAACTTCCAATAAACTCTACTTAAAGGAGAACATTTCTGTGTGTGTTGGCTGTGCACACCAATAGCAGACAAGCAAGAGAAAAAAATTGTTAGGGAAAGTGGAGTAGAACGGAAACCAATTACTTCTGCATTTATCACCAGGTGGCTGGATAAAGGTGAGGATGATGGCCAAATTGTTCGAGAGCTGGTTCCACTTGGAGATGCTCAGATGCTTAAAAGTAAGTAAGGATTTTTCTAAACTTGGTAAATTTCAGTCAACCAAATTTCTTCCTATTTAGAGGTGCTTGGTAAATTCAACAGGGAATTTTCACCTTATAAGAGAATGTTGTTTTAAGGTACAGTGCCACAATTTAAATAGGTATACCAGCAGTGAAGTCTATGCCTCAGTTCTTTCTATCAAGGTGCATAACCCACATTGTATTCCATCTGCTACTTCTTTGCCCACTAGCCTGACCAAGTCCTTCTGCAGCCTCCCGCTTCCTCACCACAACCTGTCCCTCCACCTGTTTAGCAAATTTAGCAACAACGCCCTCAGTTCCTTTTGTCCAAATTATTAATGTATAACACAAAATAGTTGTGGTCCCAACACTGACCCCTGCAGAACTCTACTAATCATTGGTTGCCATCCTCAAAAAAAAGTCCCTTTATAGAAACATAGAAACATAGAAGATAGGAGGAAGCCATTCAGCCCTTTGAGCCTCCGCCGCCATTCCTAACGATCAGGGTTGATCATCCAACTCAATAGCCTAATCCTGCTTTCTCCCCATAACCTCTGATTCCATTCGCCCCAAGTGCTTTATCTAGTCGCCTCTTGAACACATTCAATGTTTTGGCATCAACTACTTCCTGTGGTAATGAATTCCACAGGCTAACTGCTCTTTGGGTGAAGAAATGTCTCCTCATCTCTGTCCTAAATCGTCTACCCTGAATCCTCTCTGTCCTAAATCGTCTACCCCGAATCCTCAGATTTACCCAATCTGTTCACCCCGTGATTTACCCAGTCTCCTTGTGCCCTGATTTACCCCATGGTTCTGGACACATCCACCATTGGGAACAACCTCCCTGCATCTACCCTGTCCAGTCCTGTTAGAATTTTATAAGTCTCTATGAGATACCCCCTCATCTGTCTGAACTCCAGGAAAATGATCCTAACCTAGTCAATCTCTCCTCATACGTCAGTTCCGCCATCCCCGGAATCAGCCTGATAAACCTTCGCTGCACTCCCTCGAGAGTAAGAGCATCCTTCCTCAGAAAAGGAGACCAAAACTGCACACAATATTCCAGGTGTGGCCTCACCAAGGCCCTGTATAACTGCAACAACACATCCCTGCTCCTGCACTCGAAACCTCTCGCAATGAAGGCCAACATACCATTTGCCTGCTTTACCACCTGCTGCACCTGCATGCTTACCTTCAGCAACTGGTGCACAAGGACACCCAGGTCCTGCTGCATACTCCCCTCTCCCAATTTACAGCCATTCATGTAGTAATCTGCCTTCTTGTTTTTGCTTCCAAAGCGAATAACCTCACATTTATCCAAATTATACTGCATCTGCCATTGATTTGCCCACTCACCCATCTTGTCCAGATCATGCTGAAAGATCTCTGCATCCTCGTCATATTTCACCCTCCCACCCAAATTGGTATCATCTGCAAACTTGGAAATGTTACATTTTGTTTCCTCATCCAAATCATTAATGTATATGAATAGCACCCCACGCTCTTCCTTCTGCCAGAAGCCAATCCTCTATCCATGCCAGTACCTTGCCCCTACTATCGTGGTATCTAATCTTATTTAGCAGCTTCCTGTGCAGCACTTTGGCGAAGGCCTTCTGGAAGTCCAAATAGATCACATCCACTGGCTCTGCTTTGTCTCACTTGCTCGTCAACTCCTCAAACAAATCTAAAAGATTTGTCAGGCATGACCTCCTCTTGATGAAGCCATACTGACACAATCCTATTTTACCGCGCACTTCCAAGTACTCCACAATCTCATCCTTAATAATGAACTCTAAAATCTTATCAATGACCGAGGTCAGGCTAATCAGCCTACAGTTTCCTGCCTTCTGCCTTGCTGCCTCTGTCCTTAAACAGTGGCATAGGGCACTTTGACTGTCAAGAGAGAGAACATGTCAGAGATGCAGTAACCGCATTGAAAATTAAGCATTTAGCAGGCTTCCTAACATTCTGTGTAGACACTGAAGAGCCTGAAGAATTATTCTTAGGGGCTATGGCACATCCACTGTAGTATTTTAGCTTCAAAAACAGAAATTGCTGGAAAAGATCTGCAGTTCTGGCACCATCTGTGTTGAGAAATCAGAGTCGGGTCGAGTGATCCTTCCTCAGAACTGGCAAGGAGAGGTCCTGGTTAATGCAAGAAACCTAATCTTAAATTGGATACAGAACACTGCTGAAACCAGCTGGTAGTACTTGCATCACAAAATCAAACCTTGAAGGCTGAGAAAGAAACTATTATAGAAAATGTCACAGGTGTCTTGTACAAAGACAGCCAGTGTTTGTATGTAATTGATACAATGTAGAGATACCTTGATGGGGAAGAATATCCTTTTTCCATCAAATATTCCGAGCTCAGAGATCACCATAAATTATTATCTGAGAAAACAACATCCTGCTATAATCAATGAGTGATGGTTGTACAGTTGTAATGGTAACTTGTGAATGAAAGAGGAGTTCTTCATTCATGTTTGTAAAAGCCGATCAGAGGAAAACGAGCTGTCATAAATGACAGAGTTCAAACACAGAATGCTTATAACCCTTTGAAGGAGGAATTTGAAATCAATAGCAAATGATAGGAGAGAGAGAGTTTGTTTGTTGTCCTCCTCTTTCAGAGGTTGTGACAATGTGAGTGCTGGAGGGTTGCTTCTTCAATTGCTTTTTCACTGCTGTACAGCCCAGAAACCAGTGGAGAAGCTGCCATTCCGCTCCACCCCTGTCGGAAGGGCCTTCCAACACGCCCTTCCAATAAGAAAGTACATTTCTCCCACAGGTTCTCCAAGGGAGCTGGGAATACTGTTGGAGATTAATACCTTAGCTGAAAGAATCTTGTTGTGGAGTGGGAAAAGAGGGAGTGATGAGTTAAATGTTAATGGTCAGATGTTAATGTTTAAAAAGGGGTAATAAAATAACTCCAGGAGGGGGGAGATGTGGAGTAAAGGGTTAGTCAGCAACCCCACACTCCCCATGCACTGTACGTCCTACTCACTCACCTTATTACTTCCCCAATACCTCGCTGCTGTCCCTGTCGCAGGCTGTTTTCCCCCTGCAATTAGTACTGTAGGCTCACTTATGGGGATTTTGTCCTGTGTATTTTGAGCATGCCATGTAAGTTCAGGTTTTGGGAGTAGATGGTCTTGGTGATAAAGAGAATATGGGATCAGAGATTCAGCTCACAGTCAAAAAGGATGGCAATGTTGTGAATGGCCTGGGTCACCTTTAGAATGTGTTCCAATCTAGTCAACAGAGTAGGTAGTAGGGATCAGTGACAATAGCTCTGCTCTTCTGCTATTGAACTATGCTGGTTGTTGATTTTTTATTTGCAACTCTTGAGCTCAAATCAATCCAGTTCACCAGGCACTGGATAACATAAACTAAATTCTTACAGCATTTTGGGACATGCAAAGGTCTTATAATAGATAGTAAGAACTGCCGATGCTAGAGTTAGAGATAACACAGTGTGGAGCTGGAGGAACACAGCAGGCCAGGCAGTATCAGAGGAACAGGAAAGCTGACCCTCCGCTATTTTTGAAGATAGGTCCCAACCCGAAACGTCAGCTTTCCTCTGATGCTGCATAGCCTGCTGTGTTCCTCCAGCTCCACACTGTGTTATCTCAAAGGTCTTATAAGGTGTTTTATATATATGCAAATCCTGCTTTATTTGTCTCTTGAACCTGCACAGCTGTGATTTTTTTGCTAAATACTGTTCCTCATATTCAACTCTCAGATATCCGTTACCATGTTATAGTGAAGACAGGCAATGTGTCTGGAGCTAGCAGTGATTCAAAAGTTTTCATCAAACTGTATGGAGAGAAGGGAGATACCAGCAAGCATTCTCTAGCCATCTCCGACAATGACTTGGGAAATTACTTTGAACAAGGCCGTGTGGATGTTTTCACTATTGACACAATGGACATTGGAAAAGTAAGTACATGTCGGTGCACATTATGGATTGTGGATCATGCCTCTGAGCTATTAGCTAACTTGCTGGCTAATTGCATTCTTGTCTAATTTATCTAGCGAATGACAATATGGGTTCAAGATCACTATCCTTACTTGGTTGGGCACACAGTTTAGAATTACACTATATAAACCATATTAGTGAATGGGTACTCAACGAACTATATTTTTTTGCCTGCTGTTTTAGTGCAAACATTAACCCATTTTATTGTGACATTCCTACTAATCCTGACCACTGACTTTGTCTGAACTGCGCGCAACCCATATTATTTGCATGCTCATTGTTAAAGATTATTTCTGGTGAATTGAGTATCACTGAAGATTGCTTAGAATACCATAAAATGGAACAGTGAAATACTCAACACATGAAGTTTGGGTGTCAGGTTGTGCATGTGCCTTAAACAAGCAGCAATTTAATGTTTCAGAATTTACAGCAAGGTACTGGGTGGTTTATTCACTCACTGCTAGTACTTAGCTTTAAATCCAGCAATTCACTAGCCGAGTGACAGTCATTTCTCTGTTGGAGAGGGCCACAACACAAAACTGCTTTATTTTGGAGCTACAGTAGTTGTTGCTAAATTTAAAGTCTCAGTCCAAGGTACTTGGTGTGGTAAATGGAAATGTCAGGTTACCTCCCATTTAGAGCAAGTTATGCAAAGAGTCCTTAGACTCACTATGAATTGAGGAAATGATCTGTGAACACAACAGTTTTTGTGTCACTAGTAATAGGGCAGGATGTATATTGTCTCAGGGAGATCGTACACAGTGGAGGTGTAATGATGGAGAAAGCATTTATGTTGAAACTTTCCTTTATCAGATTACGTAGTTGGATAGAAACTATGATAAGGAAGAGTGTTAATAGACGATATAGCCTTACTGATTTCATACTTACAAGTGATTTTAAATGTGTTTGAAGTTTATTTATGTATTTGGAGAGGATTGAATAAGGCTATTTGTAATTTGAGTTTTTGAAGCATTAATAACAATGTTTCTCTTCTGAAAAGCTCAACCGTTTGTTGATCGGACATGACAATGTGGGACTACGAGCTGGTTGGTTCCTGGATAGCGTCCAAGTTAAGGTTCCTGTACATGGGAAAGAGTACATGTTCCCTGCTCATCGATGGCTGTGCAAGGACGAGGCAGATGGCAAGACGAAGATTGAAATATATCCCAGTGAGATCACAGATATTGAAAAATGTAAGGATATGAACTATGACGAATGTTTGACAGGTTTGCGTGTGAGCTGTAGATGCTCTTCTTCTCACTGTTTCAACATTAACCTTTCTGTCCTCTGATTCAATACCCAATAAACTTTTCTTGCTAATCTCCAAATGAGCTGATTCTTTTTTCATTCCTTCATAGAATATGGCCACTATTGATAAGGACATTCCTGGTTGCCTTTCTAGACTAGGAGTGAGCCACAATTTTGGATACAATTGAATGGCTGACTCCCGAGGCCATTTAAGATAAAGACATAGCTATGGGCATGGAGTTGCATATAGGTGCATGTGGTTAAAGACAGCAGACTTCCTTCCCTAATTGATATCATCAACATGATATTTTCTTCCCTGTATCTTTATTGTGTTGAGATCAAAATAGATGTCACTGTCTCTTAGTCCAATTCATTCTTTCTTACAAGATCAAAAATGTGGAACTCCTGTCTTTTCCCAATATTTCCCTGATAATCTGTAGATCTTTAAAACCCAAGATCAACAACTCTGAATGTCTGTTTTTTGATTGACTCCAACTTCTGTTCTACATTTTTTTTCTTTGATCATTATCTACACCCCTGGTCTTGTTGGTATTCTCTAATAAACCCGTTCAGAGATGTTATTACACACCTCTGGAACAGGTGAGATTTGAACCTGGGCCTCATGTCTCAGACCACTCCCTTAATGCCTTTCAACTAAGCCATTTTCAAAGATTAGGTGAAGCCCATGAACTGTCAATTGGTTATTTGAGCTGATCCTTCCATACAGACCAGTACTCGTTAGTTGGATGCTATTAGCTCCAAACTAGCCCCTGGTATGTGTATATACTTTGGGAACACAGTGAATACCACATTGGCAAAGGTGCAGTCTGCTGAGCAAAGATGATATTAATTGGTATGTGACATTAGTTTTACACTATCTCACGCAACTAACAGTGTAATGTGGAGAAGGAACAGACAGACACAACATAATAAGCTCTAATAATAAAACAAAGAACTGCAGATGTTGGAGATCTAGCGAAACTCAGCAGATTTGGCATCATATGTGGAAAGAAAGCAAAGTTAACATTTTGAAACCTGAAGACGAAGTTGGGTGTGGTGGGAAGGGGGAATGGAGTAAACGAATAGGTGGAGATAGAGCCCAGAGAGAGAGAGAGGGAAAGAGATATAAAAGGGGTAGGTAAACAAGACATTATGGATAGCAAGCCAGGACAGAAGGAAAGCTGAATAAGAGCTAAGAGTGGGAGAGAATGGGTGAGCTGTACTGAAAGCAACCCCGTATATGTGATAATAGGCCTAGAGTTCGTGAGAATGGACGGCTGTGCTAAAAGCAACACATGTCATAACAGGACAGGGTGTGGAGGTGGGTGAAAAATATGGAAGGGTGGAATTAGGCTAGAAAGTTATTGAACTCAATGTTGAGCCCGAGAGGCTACAAAGTCCCCAAGTGGAAAATGAGATATGCCTTCTAAAAAATAGAATAAAAATCTATCCTTTCTCAGTTCAAAATGGATAACCTCACAGTTGCTTATATTAAAATCCATCTGCCACAGATTTTCCCATCCACCTAATCTATCAATATCCTGCTGTAATCTTAACCTGTTGTCAACACTATCTACAATGCTGCCTAATTGTGTATCATTGGAAAATTTGAATGTTTGACTTTTTACGCCATTATACAAGTCATTAATGAATATTGTGAATAACTGAGGCACCAACACAGATCCCTGCAGGACATCCCCATTATTCCAGCTCTGTTTCTTGCCACTCAACCAATTTCCTATCCATGTCAGTAATTTTCCTTCAATTCCAGGGGCATCTTTCCTCAGCTAACAGCCTCTTGTGTGAGACCTTATCAAAAGCCTTCTGGAAGTCCATGTAAAGGGGAAGTGATGGCCTAGTGGTATTATCGCTGGACTGTTAATCCAGAGACCCAGATAACAGTCTGGAGACCTGTGTTTGAATCCCACCATGGCAGATGGTAGAATTTGAATTCAATAAATGTCTGAAATTAAGAATCTAAGAATGACCATGAATCTATTGTCGATTGCTGGGGAAAAACCCATCTAGTTCACTAATGCCCTTTAGGGAAGGAAACTGCCATCCTTACCTGGTCTGGTCTACATGTGAGTCCAGCCCCACAGCAATGTGGTTGACTTTCAACTGCCCTCTGGGTAATTAGGGATGGGCAATAAATTCTGTCTTGCCAGCGACGCCTTCATCCTGTTAACGAATAAAGGAAAAAAAACACCATCAGTCATCTTACCTCTGTACACTACCTTTGTCACCTCTACAAAAGACTATGAGATTTGACAGACATGACCTATCCTTCATGATTCCATGCTTTTGAACAGTTCTGGAGACTGTCTCTCCACTATCTTTTATGAAATGATATTCCAGCCGTTGATCCCTGTATGAACGATGAGGGCCTTCTGGACATTAAGCCTTAACTTACCTTTAACTAATTAATATACCTTTGGCTTTTTACCTACATGGCTTAGATTAATATATTACTCCTGGTTAACCCTTTCTATTCCATTTAAAAGCATATGTCCATATTAGGGTCCTCTAAACATTCAGCCTCAGTAAGGCTGGAGAGTCTTCTAATCTTTCCTCAAACCCTAATTGTCTGGAAGCAGGAATCAGCATCATTGCTTTGCTCTTCCCAGGTTTCCGATCTTTAAAATAATCCTTCTGACTTTATTGATTCTAAAGCACAGCATCAGCTGTGGTACTTTGTCAGCGCCTCTCGATGCAAAGTGTGTTATGTGCTTGCTTTTTTGTGGAACTCTAGTGGTGTTACCTAATTGCCTGAACAAAGGAAGTCTGCACGCTGTCTCACCTTACCTGAGGCCTACCAATTTTTGACCAGTGCCTTCCAATGGGCAAAGCAACCTAATGGTAAATTTCTGATCCTGTAGGTGGACTGACGATACACTCTCAAAGGGAGTGTGAAAATATTATGAGCTTTCAGCACTCCAGTTCTAGCTTTCCAAAACATCTACGACAGGCAGTAAGAGCAGGAGAATCTTTTGGTCATTGTGCTAGCTGCAAACCAACAGCCTCATCCTACAAAGAAACTTAATCCACAAGTTCCTGCCATGAGGAAACGATATCCTCTCTCTGAGGGACAACCACATGCATTACCATGCAATCCCAGTCTGCAGATCTTCCAGTGCAGCTCACCTCAGGGGCAGTGAATTTACCCTCAGTTAGGGACTTTGCTATTGACTATCTAGTTGTGCATCTACATCTTTGTGTATCTCACTTCCATCTCCTGTGTCTTTAACCAGTGATCAACTACGAAGTAGCGGTATGCACAGGGGACGTCACTGGAGCTGGCACTGATGCCAAAGTCTTCATCCAGATATACGGAGAGCTTGGAAAGACAGAAGTAATCCGCCTCCGAAGTCGGTCAGACAATTTTGTGCGAGGAGCGACAGAAATGTTTAAGGTAGGCTTGGATAAAGATTAATTGAAGAAGGGGCACTGAAGGCAGCAGCATTTGAAAGATGAAGGGGTCTGAGGTGGGTAATCATACAAAAGATGAAAACAAGAAGTCTTGATTCAGGGATAGTAGGAACTACAGATGCTGGAGAATCTGAGATAACAAGGTGTAGAGCTGGATGAACACAGCAGGCCAAGCAGCATCAGAGGAGCAGGAAGGCTGACGTTTCAGGCCTAGACCCTTCTTCAGAAATGGGGGAGGGGAAGGGAGTTCTGAAATAAATAGGGAGAGAGGGGGAGGCGGATAGAAGATGGATAGAGGAGAAGATAGGTGGAGAGGAGACAGACCGGTCAAAGAGGCAGGGATGGAGCCAATAAAGGTGAGTGTAGGTGGGGAGGTAGGGAGGAGATAGGTCTGTCCGGGGAGGACGGACAGGTCAAGGGGGCGAGATGAGGTTAGTAGGTAGGAAATGGGGGTGGGGCTGAAGGGTCTCAATGTTCTGAACGTAGACATTGTCACAGTTGGGGCCAAATTGGGAAGGCCTGAATGTGGACTGTAGTCCATTGGGGATGATCTGGTTCCGTAGGCCCGAAACGTCAGCCTTCCTGCTCCTCTGATGCTGCTTGGCCTGCTGTGTTCATCCAGCTCTACACCTTGTCTTGATTCAGGGTTTGAGTGAAGATTTGTAGCTCAGGTGCTGGTTGTAGATGTTGGTGTGTTCTCCGAGCTGGGGGGGTTTGATAGCTGATGTTTCATCCCCTTACTAGGTGACATCCTCAGTGCTGTGGAGCCTCCTGTGAAGCGCTATTGTCTTGTGCCAGTTCGAATTTATATGGTCTGGTTTTTGCTGCTTCCGGTAGGTGCCGGTTCAGGCTGTGTGTTGTAATGTTCGGTACATCGAGTCTAATTCAATATGTTTGTTGATGGAGCCCGCGGATGAATGCCAAGCCTCCAAGAATTCCCTGGCTGTCCTCTGTTTGGCTTGTCCAATGATAGTAATGTTGTCCCAGTTTAAAGTGTGGTTATTCTCATCCATGTGTATTGAAACCAAGGACATCTGGTCATGTTGTTTTGTTGCTCGCTGCTGTTCATGGATGTGGGTTGCTAGTTGTCTGCCTGTTTATCCCAGGTAGTGTATTGTGCAGTCTCCGCAAGGTATCTTGTAAACCACATTCATCTTGTCCATGGTATGTATAGGTCTTTAACTGTGGTCATTTGCTGTCTTAATGTGCTGTCATGATTTCTAGCAGTCTGATTTCTGGATAATCTGGCTGCCAGTTCTGAGGTGTTTTTTACATATGATATGGTGGTTATTGTTTTGGATTTTGGTATGTCTTGATTGTATTGTCTGTTGGCTAGGCATCTGTGGATGAAGCTGCAGGAGTATCCATTCCTGGTAAAGACCTTGTAGAGATGTTCTTCTTCCTTTGGCAGATCGGATGTGCTGCAGTGTGTAGTGGCCCTTTTGAACAGGGTCCTAACGCAGCTCCTCTTGTGCGAGTTGGGGTGGTTGCTGCAATAGTTTAAGACCTGGTCAGTATGTGTGGATTTTCTGTATACTTTTGTAGTGAAGTCACCGTTCTCTTTTCTTTCCACTATCACGTCCAGGAATGGGAGTTTGTTGTTGTTTTCCTCCTCTTGTAAATTTGATCCCTGTGAGTATGGTGTTGATGAGTTGGTAGGTGTTCTCAATTTCCCACAAGCCAGAGAAACAGCCAGACAGAACAGCCGCAGGATGATACAAGATGCCCATAACAGACTCCACAAGTACAAACAAGAAATTGCACGCCAGAAGTCATTAATTTCGAAAGCGACCAATCAGGAGTGGACTATGAGAATCGAATGGGCCATCACTATAACACAGAACTGGACCACACACAAAAAAAAAACAGCACTATAGAAAAAAGTGACCAAATTGACCAACGGCAGAAGAGACAACATGACTGACAAATGGATAAGAAACCTCTCCAACAGACAGCTCACAGATAGAGAAAAAACAGTACCAATCAAAGGACTGAACTACAACCACAGAGACGTTGAACGAACAGACTTCCTGGCAGCACTAGAATCCACACTCAGAAACAATGGACTAAACGAAGAAACACAAAAAACGATCAGACAGACCATTGTACCCCTACTAACAAGAGAAAACAAACGGACACACTTAACAAAGAGAAAAGGGATGCCCTGAAGAACCTCAAAAAGGACAAAAACATCATCATTGTTCCCGCAGATAAAGGCAGAACGTGGTAATGAACAAAACGGACTGCATACAAAAAGCCAAAGAACTACTTGCAGATACACAAACCTACCAACAGAGGGAGTGGGACCCCACACCACAGCTAACAAACAGAATAACCAATACACTAGGGAACTTACACAAAACAGGACCAGTAACAAAAACAGAATTACAAAGGATGAAACCGGAAGACAGCAACACTCCTAGATTCCACAAGGTCCACAAGCCTGACATAGCCCTCAGACCAATTGTGGCTCCACCAGGAACCCCATCAAACAAATTAGCAAAAGAACTACAACAAAAGCTTAAACATCTATCAGTAGTTCAAGCCACGCCATACAATCAACACAAGATTTCCTGGACAACATCAAGTACACTAATATAGACAAAGAAGAAGTGATGATCTCATTCGATGTAACAGCATTGTTTACATCAATTGACAGAGACTTAGTCAAAGAAACCATATCCAACCTACTAGATGAACACAAAAGACGACTAAATGAGGAACAGATCAACAAACACTGCATACTCAAACTACTGGACTTATGCTTAACAACACACTTTACATTCAACGGCAAGATGTATGAGCAGCTCAATGGGACTCTCATGGGCTCACCCATCTCCGGACTGATAGCTGAGGCAGTCATGCAAAGACTGGAACAACCAGCCCTTCCACAGATCCAGCCCAAGCTCTGGATCAGATACGTGGACAACACTTTTGTAATTATGAAAAGAACAGGAATTGAGAACACCCAGCAACTCATCAACACCATACTCACAGGGATCAAATTTACAAGAGAGGAGGAAAACAATAACAAACTCCTATTCCTGGACGTGACGGTGGAAAGAAAAGAGAGCAGTGACTTCACTACCAAAATGTACAGGAAATCCACACATACTGACCAGGTCTTAAACTGTCACAGCAACCACCCCAACTCACACAAGAGGAGCTGCATTAGCACCCTGTTCAAAAGGGCCGCTACACACTGCGGCACACCCGATCTGCAGAAGGATGAAGAAGAACATCTCTACAAGGTCTTTTCCAGGAATGGATACTCCTGTATCTTCATCCACAGATGCCTAGCCAACAGACAACACAATGAGGACACACCAAAATCTAAAACAATAGCCACCATACCATATACAAAAAACACCTCAGAACTGACAGCCAGAATACTCGGACCACTAGAAATCACGACAGCACATGAACCGGCAGCCACACTAAGACAGCAAATGACCACAGTTAAAGACCCAATAGATATCAATGGACAGGACAAATGTGGTTTACAAGATACCTTGCGGAAACTGTACAAAACACTATGTGAGACAAACAGGCAGACAACTAGCAGCCCGCATCCATGAACACAAGCTAGCAACTAAATGACATGAACAGATGTCCTTGGTTTCAATACACATAGACGAGAAAAAACACTCTTTAAGCTGGGACAACACTATGATCCGAGACAACAAGGTGCAGGGCTGGATGAACGCAGCAGGCCAAGCAGCATCATAGGAGCAGAGAGGCTGACGTTTCGGGCCTAGACCCTTCATCAGAAAAGGGGGAGGGGAAGGGGGTTTTGAAATAAATAGGGAGAGAGTGGGAGGCGGATAGAAGAGGGATAGAGGAGAGGATAGGTGGAGAGGAAACAAACAGGTCGAAGAGGCGGGGATGGAGCCAGTAAAGGTGAGTGTAGGTAGGGAGTTAGGAAGGGGATAGGTCAGTCCAGGGAGGACGGACAGGTCAAGGGGGCGGGATGAGGTTGGTCGGTAGGAGATGGAGGTGCGGCTTGAGGTGGGAGGAGGGGATAGGTGGGAGGAAGAACAGGTTAGGGAGGCAGGGACGAGCTGGACTGGTTTTGGGATGCGGTAGGGGGAGGGGAGATTTTGAAACTTGTGAAATCCACATTGATACCATTGGGCTGCAGGGTTCCCAAGCGGAATATGAGTTGCTGTTCCTGCAACCTTCGGGTGGCATCGTTGTGGCACTGCAGGAGGCCCAGGATGGACATGTCGTCTGAGGAATGGGAGGGGGAGTTGAAATGGTTCGCGACTGGGAGGTGCAGTTGTTTGTTGCGAACCGAGCGTAAGTGTTCTGCAAAGCGGTCCCCGAGTCTCCGCTTGGTTTCCCCGATGTAGAGGAAGCCACACCGTGTACAGCGGATGCAGTATACCACATTGGCAGATGTGCAGGTGAACATCTGCTTGATGTGGAAAGTCTTCTTGGGGCCTGGGATGGGGGTGAGGGAGGAGGTATGGGGGCAGGTGTAGCACTTCCTGCGGTTGCAGGGAAAAGTGCCGGGTGTGGTGGAGCTGGAGGGGAGTGTGGAGCGGACAAGGGAGTCACGGAGAGAGTTGTCCCTCCGGAAAGCAAATCCCGCCTCTTCGACCTGTTTGTTTCCTCTCCACCTATCCTCTCCTCTATCCCTCTTCTATCCGCCTCCCACTCTCTCCCTATTTATTTCAAAACCCCCTTCCCCTCCCCCTTTTCTGATGAAGGGTCTAGGCCCGAAACGTCAGCCTCTCTGCTCCTATGATGCTGCTTGGCCTGCTGCGTTCATCCAGCCCTGCACCTTGTAGTCTCGGATTCTCCAGCATCTGCAGTTCCTACTATCTCTGACACAACACTATAATCATTGGACAAGCCAAAAATAGGACAGCCAGGGAATTCTTGGAGGCTTGGCATTCATCCGCGGACTCCATCAACAAACACGTTGAATTAGACTCGATGTACTGAACATTACAACACACAGCCTGAACCGGCACCTATCGGAAGCAGCAAAAACCAGACTATATAAATTCGAACTGGCACAAGACAATAGCGCTTCACAGGAGGCTCCACAGCACTGAGGATGTCACCTAGTAAGGGGATGAAACGTCAGCTATCAAGCCTCCTAGCTCGGCAAACACACCACCTACAAGAAGTCTTTATGGTGAACTGGGCATAGGAGCTCAGCTCGGTGTCAAAAAAAAAGTGGCTTTGTAATACATGATTGAGTAGCAGCTTGTAACAGGGATAATGTTGGAGGCATGAGTTGTAGCAGAATTTGAAAATAATGGCTTCAATCTTTCTAGTGTCGATTTGAAGAGATTTTCACTCACTTATGTCTCATATTGAGACACACCAGGTGGCCAAGTGAAGTGGGGAGGTGTGACATGGACCTGGAAAAGGTGGAAACTGTTGAACCGGATATCAATATCATCCCAGAGTGGCAATAATAGTTTGCACTAGCTAAGTGAGTCAGTGAGATGGAGTGCAACCAATGTGTACTAGAGCAGTTTCCATTTGGTGCGATTTCTTCTGATACTTGAGTTTCATACTGGGAGCAGGTACAAAGCAACCCCTACATCCAAATCCATCAAGGCCAGCCAAAGTACTAAAGAAATGCAAACTGTGTACCAGGGCTTCACCTAACCATGCAAACACGCAGATAATCATTGGGATTCATACTATCAATCAGCATTACAAAAATACCAAAGAGCAGTTTGCAATCAGTTGGTTTTAACTGGTATGTATATCTCTTTGCACTCAGTTTATCTAATGTCTAAAGTACCTCAGACCCCATCTGTCACTGAAACAGCTGATTCTTGCGTACACAGATCGAGGCCCAGAATGTCGGCAGGTTGATCAAACTCCGAATTGGTCATGATGGAAGTGGCTTAGCTCCAGGCTGGTTCCTGGAATCAGTCACAATCAGTCGACTAAACTTCAGGGTCATGGATGATGACAAGAAGAAGAAGAAAAAGAAGAAGAAGGTTGAGAAGGATGCTGATGGCCTGCAAAATGAGGTAGTGGAGACCTACATCTTCAACTGTCAGCGCTGGCTTGCTAGAGATGAAGGGGACAGAGAACTCGTGGTGGAGCTCTTGCCAGAGGAATACGATGACCTGGAAGGTGAGTTAAGGAGTTCAGGAAAATAGTACCAAAGGGGCAAACTCATACCTTGACGCTCTTTCTTTGAGTTATAAGTATATACTCATATTTACAAAAATAACCTAATTTTACAATTTTTTTAGCATTTCAAATAATAAATGGCATTAGTTATAAATGTAACATGATAGTTGAGTGACAGGCTTATCACTAAATGAATCACTCAAAAAACTCAAAGTCACAATATCTAAATGAAAATATTTGTTGTCCAATATTCCAATATACAACCCAAAATTTGCAAGTCTTTGCTGTTTTGTAGTTTTCACTTTTCATTGGACACTGTCCAAATCAACAAAAAGACTTTGCAAGCAAATACGTGATCAACATCTCAAAGTTATCCGCTAAAATTCAGTGTTCACACATTGTTTCCATTGCAATGAGTGTAACAAAATGAAAGCTCCTTTGCCACATTTAAAAATGGTTGTCACTAGAAGCTAGAACAGGCAAAAATATAGCCCACACAACTGAGTGAAAACAGACATAAAACACTAGAATTACCTGAGATGAAAATGTATTCTTAACTTTTACTTCCAAAGTATCTAGTGTGCACATATCTATACTGCACTTCTTTCACTTCTTTTTAATCTTGCATGTTTTAACTTAACACTCCTGACCATGGCTTTCACTCCTCATTCCCCATTGATCATCGTGTAAGGCTAGCCCTGTGCTCAATTTTAGTATAGAAATAGGGTCTGTTAGCAGGTTCCATGTGCTTTTCCTTTATGAATTAGTGCCTGCTCCTTTTACACAATGAGTCAGCATTCAGAGCACTTATAAGTAACACAAAACACAATTCTGTAAAAATTGGATATGACCCATTTTCAGATGAATAACTAACCAAGTGGCTCACAAAATTGGATGTTGGAATTATTCCAATACTTTGGGAGAGATGCTGGCATCTGCTATGCTTCTTATTGGAGCTTGCCCATGTCAAATTTGGTGAATTTGGGGCTGCTCACCTCAGTGGCCTTAGGTAATCAGAGAAGGAGGGAAGGATAATGGGAAGGAGGCCACTTCTGGGCTAGTACCAGATTGCCCCACGTTAAAATGTTTCTTTTTAAATTGTACTCGCTCAATATTGGCAATCATTGCTGAAGATTCCTGAATAGAGTGAGGAACCCACTGACACTTTGCAAACTGGTTCTAAAGCAACATTGGCAGCTTATTTCCATATTACGGGAATTCAGAAGAATACTGATTCAAGGGAAATATTGCCTGGGGGGAGACTGCTGATCGGCTGGTACGTGGACTCTTATTGCAGAGGCATTATCATGGAGAATGCGTCAGTTAATTATAACTGGTAGCTAACTGCCAAGCTTTGTTAACATTTTAAACAAGACAGATTAACTCAGATTGGTTAGGACATTGCCATGAGAAATAAACTAGAGAATGGCTGTCACCTGTTTTGTTGCAATGAAACTTGCAGTGTGTATACATGTTCTTTACAAACAGAAAGAACAAAGTATGTTAATATAGAAAGCTTCAAGCACCTACAAGCTTGCTGTGCTGTGAGCCTGACTGCCAGTCCTAAATTGGTTGTCAGCATAGTTCTTCACACACTCAGCATTGTGTAATAACTATTGTCAAATTGTGGAATTGCATCAATCATTGGTCACTGTTGTGAGTCTTATAAGTGCAGGCTGATTGGGTACGGTTCAGAGGTTACAAACAGCTGAAAGGAAATGTTGCTTGATAAAATCTGCCAGTCTTTGGAATGGATGCCCTGCATAGTAGTGTAACTAGCACTGAAATCCAAATACCACATTACTCCTGTATATGATTGGTAGTATATCTTTTTGGTTTGATAGTAGTATCCTATCAGTATCTAACACCATTTGCATTGCTATACATAGTAGCAGTGTACAATTGCTGGCCTTATCTGTTTCTCATTCCTCAGGGAAATGCCTTCACTAATCAGACTGATCCTTCCAAATTTAAAATGTGAACAAAGCTTGGCAGTTAACTCTCAGTCACCATTAACTGGTGCATTCTCTGTGGCAACGTCTGTAACACTCAGAATCCTCTTGACAACCAATCGTCACCCTCCTTATAGTATAAATGTTGTTTTCATTTTACTTTGGATTTTCTCGGGTAGTGTTTTCTTTCCAGTAATACCAAAGTTCTATATGACCCAATTGTTTAAATAATAATGACTGGAATCTGTCATATATGAAGTATTGAGGCTTCAGGTCATTAGACAAGCAACAGGGAATGTAAATTAATTTTAAAACTTACCATACCTGAGGAAGTTTTACACTATATCTAACTTGTTCTGTATTTAACCTGGGCAGTCTTATTGATGGAAAGCAAGACCTTTTGACAGCCTACAGCACCAGGTGCTTTAGGGTGGATTATGAGAACATTCTGTATTGGAAACCTTGTCTTCATGTGAGATTCTATTCATGTATGGTGAGTCATGGAATCTCTGCCCCTTAAACTCCACAATATCCCACCCCTAAAGTGGAAACCATGATACATTAGGTCCCGCCCTTCCAGAACACCAAACTTGCACCAAAACTCCTGAGGATTTTCATCTTCATGTTTGCAACATGAGGCCTTGTTCTTTTCAGACTCGATTTGTACAAGGCTGCCTAGTTCTTCCATTAGTCTCCATCTGAAACACAACTGGAGTGAATCTGATCCCATTATTATATCTCCTGTCATTATGTGCCAAATGCCTAAAGGTTGATTCATTATTGATAGAAATTCTGGTACTAATTTAAACCGCAGATGCCTGTTGGGATACAAACAGATTTGAGTGAAATACCTGTATTACACCTCATGTGATAGTACTTTTCATTGACATTAGTAGAGGGTAACAGTGCAGGTGTCAATCCAGCATTGTACCTGATTCTGAAAGATTTCGGGAAGACAGGTTAGGATAAAATTACCCCTCCAGAGCAATGAACATTCCTTAAAAGATTAATTGATTAGAATTACATTGTCACGACAACTTTGGAAAATGCTAGCAACCAGAGATATCAACAATGTTTGCTTCATGACTGTTTCATTTGCAGAAAACTCATACACAGTTCATGTAATTACCGGAAATGTCATGGGCGCAGGAACAGATGCCAATGTCTTCATTAACATGTATGGTGAGACAACAGACACTGGAGAACGTTGCCTAAAGATGTCAAACCATCTCAACAAGTTTGAAAGAGGACAGGTACATTACAGTTGTTGAACTGGGGTGTAAGTGTGAGGGAATTCACATTATCATAGTGATTATTCAATGAATAAACATGTTGTGTAGTATGAATTAGAAATATTAGACCAGGCTGGTCCCAGGTGTAATCTCGAGTTATTTCCAAATGAACTAATTTAGTCAATACAGCTATAGGCGTCTCTCAATTGGCGTCAGACTTCCTTGCTGAGAGTTCCACTATCCAACAACCTTTACTTGTGAAGTATATGATTAGGCATTGCGTGAGGACACACATGTTTAGCTGCTGACATATGCTATCTAATGCTGCACAATGTAGCTGGATATTCACCTAATCTACCACAGCCTATGCCTCTGCAAGAATCAAGTTCAGACTAATTAAGTCTGCTCATGTAGGCTGTTTGATTTTCGTAAGAATGTCTGCACCCTTCCCTCCTGTTTCAGACAGTGGATGTATTGCTTGTTAACTTTATCATTGGATTCTGGAGAAATACGAGTGGTTTGGAAAACTGCTAAAGTGTCACCCACATTCAAAAAGGAAGGGCAGCCAGGAGTGAATAACTATAGGCTGATTAGTCTAATATCTAATGTTAGAAAAGTACTGGAATGAATTATTAAGGAAATAACAGCAGAACATTTGGAAGATCACAATCAAATCAAGCAGAGCCAGCATGGCTTCATGAACGGGAAATAGTGTCTGACTAATTTATTAGAGTTTTCTCGAGGAAGCCTCAACTAGAGTGGATACAGGGGAACCAGTAGATGTGTTGTATTTGGATTCCAGAAGGCATTTGACAAGGTGTCTCACAAAAGATTAAGGCATTAGATGTGAGCCCACAATTTTGGAGGTGTTGATAGAGAATTGTCTAATGGGTAGGAAACAGCAGTGGGGATAAGAGATTCTTTTTCAGTTTGGTGACCTGTGACTAGTGGGTTTCCACAGGGAGCAATGCTGGTTTACAATATACTCACTGGAGTTTAGAAGAATGAGAGGTGATCTCATTGAAACATATAGGATTCTTAAGGGGCTTGACAGGGTAAATGCTGAGAGGATGTTTTCCCGTCTAGAAGTAGTGGAATTTCCTCTCTCTGAGGTTTTTTTTAAATTCATCATGGGATGGGGCCATGCTAGCTAGGTCAGTATTTATTGACCATCCATAATTGCCCAGAGGGCAGTTAAGAGTCAGCCACATTGCTGTGGGTCAGGAGTCACACATAGGCTAAATAACAGTGTCATTTCCTAAAGAACATTAGTGAATCGACAATGGATTTATGGTTATCATTAGACTCTCCAGATTTTTACTGAATTCAAATTTTATTCTCTGCCATGGCAGGATTTGAACCTGGGTTCCCCGAATATTACTTGGGTTGCCTGAATTAACAGTGTAGCAATAATACCACTAGGCCATCACCTTCCTGAGTCTTTGGAACTCCTTGCCATGGAGAGCTGTGGGGGCAGAGTTCTTTTGTATATTTAAGGCTGAGATAGATAAATTTTTCATCAGTCAGGGAATCAAGGGTTATGGGGAAAGAGCAGGAAGGTTCTTGTGAGGAATGTTGGATCAGCTGTGATCCTGTTGAATGGCAGAGCAGGCTTGAGGGGCCAAATGGCCTACTCCTGTCCCTATTTCTTATGGTCCTTTTTTCACTTTTGTTGTCAGGACCTTAGAATTAGGGCACCACCAACAACAACTTGTATTTCCATAGAAGCTTTATCACAATAAAACAGTCCAAGACTCTTTATCAATCAAACGTTTGAGACTCACCTATGAAGTAGGGCAAATTAGTAAAAGCTTAGTCAGAGAGTTAGGTTTAAGGAGCTTAATATCATAAGACCATAAGACATAGGAGCAGTAATTAGGCCATTCAACCCATCGAGTCTGCTCCAGCATTCAATCATGGCTGATCAGTTTCTCAACACCATTCTCTCGCTTTCTCCCCTAACACTTGATCCCCTTGACAATCAAGAATCTATCTATCTCCATCTTAAATATACTCGATGACCTGGCCTCCACAGCCTTCTGAGGCAGTGAATTCCATAGATTCACCACTCTCTGGCTGAAGAAGTTTCTCCTGATCTCCGATCTAAAAGGTCTTCCCTTTACTCTAAGGCTGTGCCCTCCTAATCTCTCCTACTAATGGAAACATCTTCCCAACATCCACTCTGTCCAGGCCATTCAGTATTCTGTAAGTTTCAATTAGATCCCCCCTCATCCTTCTAAACTCTATCACGACCTAGAGTCTTCAAACGTTCCTCATATGTTAAGCTTTTCATTCCTGGGAGCATTTGCGTGAACCTCCTTTGCCCGCTACAAGGCCATCTTTCCTAAGATATGGGACCCAAAACTGCGCACAATAGTCCAAATGTGGCCTGACCAGAGCCTTACAGAGCCTCAGAAGTACATCCCTGTTTTTATATTCAAGTCCTCTCAAAATAAATGCCAAAGTTGCATTTGCCTTCCTAACTACTGACTCCGCAAGTTTACCTTGACAGAATCCTGGACTAGAACTCCCAAGTCTCTTTGCACTTCAGCCTTCTGAATTTTCTCCCCATTTAGAAAATAGTCCATGCTTCTATTCTTCTTACCAAAGTGTATGACCTCACACTTTCCCACGTTGTACTCCATTTGCCACTTCTTTGCCCACTGTCCTCACCGGTCCAAATCCTTCTGCAGCCTCCCTGCATCTTCAATACTACCTGTCCCTCCACCTATCTTTGTATTGTCTGCAAACTTAGCCAGAATGCCCACAGTTCCTTCATCTAGATCATTAATGTATAAAGTAAAAAGTTGTTGTGGTCCCAACACTGACCCTTGCGGAACACCACTTGTCACTGGCTGCCATCCTGAGAAAGACCCTTTTAATCCCCACTCTCTGCTTTCTGCCAGACAGCCAATCTTCTATCCATGCTAGCACCTTGCCTCTAAAACCATGGGCCCTTATCTTACTCAGCAGCCTCCTGTGCGGCACCTTGTCAAAGGCCTTCTTGACGTCCAGGTAGATAACATTCATTGGCTCTCCTTGGTCTAACCTGCTCATTAGTTCCTCAAAGAACTCTAACAGATTTTTCAAGCATGACCTTCCCTTGATGAAACCATGCTGACTTTGCCCTGTTTTATCATGCACTTCCAAGTATTCAGAAATCTTATCCTTCACAATGGACACTAAAATCTCACCCACAACTGAAGTTAGGCTATTCGGCCTGTAATTTTCAGTCTTTTGCCTTACTCTCTTTTTAAATAGGGATGTCATGTTAGCAATTTTCCAGTCCTCTGGGACCCTCCCTGCCTCTAGTGATCTGATTTGAAAGATCACGACTAATGCTTCTACTATCTCTTCAGCTATGTCCTTAAGAACTCTGGGGTGGAATCCACCTGGGTCAGGTTACTTATCCACCTTCAGGCTATTCAGTTTTTCTAGCATCTTCTCCTTGGTGATGGTCACTATCGTCAGCTCTGCCCCCTGATTCTCTTGAATTTTTGGGATATTACTCGTGTCTTCCACTGTGAAGATTGATGCAAAGTAATTATTGAGTTCCTCAGCCATTTCCTTGTTCCTCACTACTATCTCTCCAGCATCATTTTCCAGCAGTCCAATGTCCACTTCTGCCTCTTTTTTGCCATTCATGTATCTAAAGAAACTCTCACAGTCCGCCTTTATATTACTGACCAGCTTACCCTCATATTTAATCTTTTTTTTTTGTTCCCCTCTGTTGGTCTTTGTAAGCTTCCCAATCTCGGGTTTCCACTGCCCTTCACTACATTCTATGCTTTCTATTTTGCTTTTATGCTATCTCTGACTTCCCTAGTCAGCCAACATCTTAAAGGACAAAAGTGAATTAGATAAGCATTGAGGCTTAAGGTGGAAATTCCAGAGTTTAGGGACTTGACAGCACAACTAGCAAAGACGGAAATATTAAAATCAGGGATGCAGAAGAGGTGAAGTTTAAATGAATGTATGAATAATGTTTAATAATGAATGTATGAATATTATGTTTAAATGAACCCATGAATATATCAGGATTATGGACAGTACTCAAAATACACAAAAAGGATGGACAAATTTGTCCCCTGATCACTCTAGGATGTTTGAGCTTTTTAAAACATTCTTGCTATTGTTATATTTTGATTTTCAATGTAGGAAGATATATTTTTGATCAAAGCCATTGACCTTGGTGTATTAAGGAAACTACGCATTCGACATGATAATACGGGAGGAAATGCTGCCTGGTTTCTGGACAGGGTGGAAATTGTTGATGAAAAGGATGACACTACGTGAGTATCAATGTCTACAAAGTGTGAGGGTTAGAATTCTAGCTTTCGTATTATGTCAGAAATTTTTCCTCTAGTTTACAAACACTTTTCTCATTCCTATACCAATGTGTTGTGTTCAACAAAATCAATTATATATCTGAAGCCAGAAAACATTCTAATTCTATCTTAATCTGTCCATCTGGTTTCTGCAAAGTGGTATATTTATTGAGAATGTAATAAGAAGAATGTTTCAAAAATTTTTGAACCTTTTCTGTCAGAAAACTGACAAGGTCATCTATTCACCATCCATTATTTGCCATAAAGCATTAAAAATCAATCCCATACTGTGGGATTGGAATCACATAATGGGGGAGGGGATGGTAGATTCTACATTTGTGTCCAGTTGGGTGTTACAAAATAAAGAAAAAGATTTCAGTGTATTTTTCTGACATTGGTCCACATGCTATCAATTTTATTTCATCCAAATCTAAATATCCTATCATGAGATTGAATTCATAGCCTTTTAGAAGGCAGTTCTCCTTTGACAACCATACTCAATCTATGTCATATTAATTACTTCCTGATTTACTAATATTTGTTGGCCACTAGTAATGCATCATTTTCTAATTGATATCTGCTGTAAAATTACTGATGGTGCTTTGGACCAATCATATTAATCAGAAATAGTAGTAATCAGAGCAAGGATTAGGCTGTTTATCCTTGGTTAAATAATCCGTTAATAAAAATTACAAGTAACTCACTAAACAACGTACTGTGAACTGATTTCTGTAATTTGGATTTTCCATTTACTGCACAGATTTATTTGAAACTATCATGAGGGGGTGGGGTTAGAAAGAAATAGTTATGCAATATCATTCACGAATTTGCTATTTCACCAGGTATTTCTTCCCTTGTGAACGATGGTTAGCTGTTGATGAAGATGATGGCCAGATAGCAAGAGAGCTTGTTCCTGTAGATGAGGCATTCCTGAACAAAGATTCAGACAGAACAGATCAATCTCAGGCAACACTTGGCCTTGAACAGAAAGGTAAGAAAAGTTGTCGAAGAAACAAATCCTTTTTTCAGCCTCACAACCAATGTGATGCATTTGAGTTTAAGTTCCAACCAGAGACATATTTTGTGACCCAAGGTATTTTCTTAAATATTCTGCTGCCATTGTTCCTTGTGATAAGATTCTTAAGGGGCTTGGCAGGGATAAATGCTGAGTGGAAGTTTCCCCTCATGGAAGACTCTGGGACCAGAAGGGTTAGTCTCAGAATTAAGGAGTGCCAGTTTAAATGAGATGAAGACAAGAGGAAACTCGAGAGGGTTGTGAGTCTTTGGAACTCATTGCCGCAGAGTTATGGGCAGAGTCCTTATGTATATTTAAGGCTAAGATAGATAGATTCTCGATCAGTAAGGGAATCAAGGGTTATGGGAAAGATCAGGAAAGTGGTCGTGAGGAATGCCAGATCAGCCATTCTCCTATTGAATGGCAGAGCCAGGTCCTTTATTCATTCACGGGATGAGGGTGTTGCTGGCTAGGCAGCAATTATTGCCCCTCCCTGATTGCCGAGAGCAGTTATGAGTCAACCATATTGCTGTGGGTCTGGAGTCAGAAGTAGGCCAGACTAGGTAAGGTTGGCAGTTTCCTTCCCTAAAAGATATTAGTGAACCAGATGGGTTTTACCGACAATTGCTAATGGATTCACGGTCATCAGGTCTTAAACTGACATTAAGAGATTCAAGCAAGAGCAGCAGTTTTCTCCTGGTGTTAAGCCCAATATTTATCCCTCAACCACAACCCTAAACAGACTTCCTGGTTATTTACTATGTAGGAGATTACCTTGTGCAAATTGACTGCCATATTTTCCTACATTGATTATACTTCAAAAGTACTTAATTGGTGAGGAGGTGCTTTGGTATGTGTTGAGGATGTGAAATAGGCATACTTTCTGTAAGCAGTGTACCTCGATGAAGGTGGTGGAAGCTGATCCAGCATGCCAACATCTGATTAGTTCTGTAAAGGTGATTGAAGTTTGACCAGCCCAATAAATAACCAGACATCTTTTGTTCCTAACAGCTCAGTCCACCACCTACACTGTGAGGGTAAAAACTGGGGAGAAGAAGAATGCTGGGACAGATGCCAATGTGTTCATCACCCTGTTTGGTGAGAAGGATGACACAGGTATGATGATTCAACTGGATGAACTTTGGAGAACATTTTAAGGAACCATTGCCAAGTACTCAGTATTTAGTCTTGGAAGAAGAGTAAGGTGCTAAGCAGAATGAGAATTGACAGGAAGGGCTGCCACTCTCCGTGTGTTGTGGTAAATAGTTACGGAGCTTTTTTAGCAAAAGCTGGGCACATACAAGCTGGGTGCCCTTTGTAAATAATAGATAGTATAAGATAAGCAGAGAAATTGAAAATGGGGCCATTAGAAACAGAAGGAATGTAAAGAAGATTGTGAATCTATATAAATGGGGAGCATTTTGGTTAATTGTAATCTCTATTTTCGGCTTGCTAAAATGTTAATTTCCCTACTTTCATGAGATATGAGCAATGATCCGAGTGCTGAGCAACTCCTTTATGTATCTCTGTCTGGTCAAAAAAATGCAGTTTCTGCTACTCCCTGCTTTCTAAGGGACATTTTGTATCTCTTGCTGCCTCTTTAATCACATGGATTTTAAAATAGGGTCATGGATTCATAGAGATATACAGCATGGAAACAGACCCTCCATCCAACTCGTCCATGCCGACCAGATATCCTAAGTTACTATAGTCCTATTTGTCAGCATTTGGCCCATTTGCTTCAAACCCTTCCTATTCATAAACCTATCCAGATGCATTTTAAATGCTGTAATTGTACCAGCCTCCTCCACTTTCTCTGACAGTTTATCCCAAACACGCACCACCCTCTGTGTGAAAAGGTTGCCCCTTTGGTCCCTTTTAAACCTTTCCCCTTTCACCTTAAACCTATGCCCTCTAGTTTTGGACTCCCCCACCCTGGGGAAAAGACCTCGACTATTCACCCTATCCATGCCCCTCATGATTTTATAAACCTCTATAATGTCACCCCTCGGTCTCTGAAATGCTAACCTGCCTAACTTGAAGTGCTTTATCAAAAGCCTTTCAAAGGTTCACACTCACAATATTGACTGCAGTATCTTCATCCACACATTCTATTACCACAAAAACTGCCATGGTGGGATCTGAACTCTCACTCTGTGCATTATTAATGCAGAGCTCGACATTACTACAGCACCACCATATCTGACCTGTGTTGGCAGCTGATTGATTACAATACCCTAAATTATTTAACAAGTTTTTATCACTAAATTTAGGAATTGTCAACCTCAAGGCGTCGAAAACTTACAAAAATAAGTTCGAGAAAGGAAATATTGATGAATTCACTATCGAGGCTGTGGACATTGGACCACTGAAAAAAATCCGAATTGGACATGATAATCGTGGTAAGTCCTGAAGTGATGTTACAGAGACTCGGTGCCATAAGGAAATTAGGGGCAGGAGGAGACCATTCAGCCCTTTGAGCCTGCTCTGCTATGTAGATCATGACTGATCAACACCACATTCCCATGCTAACTCCATATCTTTTGATGTCAATGGTAACTGGAAATCTATCAATCTTTATCTTTAATTTATGTAAAGACTTAACTTCCACCACTCTCTGAGATTCATCATCCTCTGAGTGAAGAAATTCCTGGGTCACTTCAGCCCTAAATGTCTTGTCCCTTGGTTCTAGCCTCTAAGGCTGGAGAAAAGAAGCCATTCCATCTAGCCCTTTAAGCATGTGCTTCATTTTTACAAGATCACCTTTCAGTTTGCTAAACTCTAGTGAATACAGGCCCAGTTTCCTCAATATCTCCTCCTGGACAATTTCATCATCCCTGGCATCAGTCTGGTGAATACCACTGTCCTCTCTATGGCAAATATATCCTTCCTGAGGTAGGGGACCAGAACTGCACACAGTACTCCAGGTGAGGTATCACCAATATTTTATATAATTGAAGCAAAACTTCTTGGCCTCTTAACTCAATTCTTTTTGTGATAAAAGTTACCACCCTGGGAAGGGATAGAAACTTGCTGTTTATGTCAGCTTGTTCCTGAGTGCATACACTGCGCTGCCATCTCTGATGATGGTGGTATTTGGGTCATTGTTTTCAAAGTCTGATTCATTGAAAATTACTAAGACTAGGCTGTGGGACATGTCTCATAATTTTGGCACAAACACCCCGTATGTTAGTAAGGAGAACTTTGTAGGGTCAACAGGACTGTGTATGCCAATGTCATTTCTGGTGCCTTGCTACATCCAGTTTCACTATTTCAATCAGGCTTTCTCATGGTTAGATACAACAGCTATGCATTAACATTACCTGAGACTGTCCCTGTGAAGAAATTGAAGAATTCCCAACCTGAATGGATAGGCCTTTTGACAATGAGCTTAAGGGGGTGTTAGTTTTCAGTGGCCATGCTTCCCTCTCCATCTCCCCCAGCAACTCTTTGAAAAAACAAAACTGCCCTGGATGAGTCAGGAGCCTGAAATAACCTTAGCAATGTGATGTGTGAAACGCATTCAGGCTGCCTCCCAACACTTTGAAAATAAACCCGTGATTCTGACAACATGACACAATAAAACTTGGCTCCTTTCTGCTTTCGTTTAGCTCCTTTCTGCCTGAATGGTGTCTTATACAAATTGTGATGTCTACACTGTGAAAGAAGTACTGAAATTATATTTAAAGAGTCTGTGTTCCTAGACAAAAAGAAATGCTGCCACCATCCTAAATAACAGTGCCAAATGCTGGCTACTTAAGAGTTTGAAGTTGAGCAAAAGGTATAGAAACATTTCTTCTGTATGTCTTCTAATGGAACATATCCAACTCATTCTGTTGTGATCGCAGAATTGTTGCAGTGCAACAGGAGGCCATTCGGCCCATTGTGCCTACACTGGTAACTTACTTTAACCAAAACATAAGTACCCAGGATGAAGCATCCATGAAATTTCTGCATAACTCCCAAGGTAGCCAGCAACTTTAGAATTTAATCTTTAACATTATCAACCATATAATTATGATTTGCAAGTTGTACCTCTCATTTGACAGTTTATGGATCTAGCAGGGCTGTTTCCATAGGGTTTCTTACTTGTTTGTCCCTGTCCGTACTTATTCTTTTGACCGTAATAAACATTTCTCCTTTATGTGTTTAAGTGAAATTCCAATTTAACACCTGAATCGTTGACTGCTCCTGTGTGTTCTTTTAGGAGGCTGTGCTGGTTGGTTTTTGGATTGGGTAGAAATTGATGCCCCATCACTTGGACAAATACTGCACTTCCCATGTGGACGTTGGTTGGATAAAGCTGAGGATGATGGATATATAGTACGGGACCTCTTCCCTGCAGATCTACAAACTAAAGACTATGTTCCATGTATGTTGCATTTTTCTGATTAAGTGGGATGGGATACACTGTTCTTAATATAGACAAAGCAGCCATTTCTGTTAAGAAAGCATCTAAATTCAGTTGTTGGGGATCAATGAGAAATGTTATGGTAGTTATGATTTTGTATAATGTGAGTAAACAGGAAGTCGTTCTGTCAATTAGAATTCCATGTATACTTTACAAGTGAACTGGATGGTACCCTTACCCTAGGAATCTCAAATCCCATACTTCTCCTTCTTTTGTGATTTTCATCCTTTCAGTTCTTTTTCTCTTTCTGATCTAAAGTGAAACATTCAGCTGCTTTGCGTTTCAACTGAGAGATATGCTCACTCTGACAGGGGCTTGAAGGAAATTGCTTAGGATGCCTTCACAAATCCAGTCCTCTCTGACTTTTCAAGGAATATACACAACTTGCCAACACATTCAGTACTTGCAATGTGAGGTCAACTGCCAGCTGAGTCCTTGCAAGAAAACCATGCTTTTTTTTTCTGAACAAATAAAAAGTTTAAGAAAAAAGGCAGCTGGAGTTTTTTTGTAGTGAAAAGGGTGGAAGTGTGCTTTTCAGAATGAAGATCAATAACTAGTGGTGTTCTGCAGGGATCAGTGCTGGGACCTTTGTTGTAATATATATAAATGATCTGGAGGAAAATGTAGGTGGTCTGATTAGTAAGTTTTCAGATGACACCAAAATTGGCAGAGTTGCAGATAGTGAGGAGGATTGTCAAAGGAAACAGTGGGATATAGATAGATTGCAGATTTTGGCAGAGAAATGGCAGAATGAGTTTAACTCAGACAAATGCAAAGTGGTGCACTTTGGAAGATCAAATTCAGGTGTGAATTATACAATAAATGGCAAAACCCTTAGGAGCATTGACATACAGAGGGATCTGGGCGTACAGGCCCACAGATCCCTGAAAGTGGAACACAGGTGGATAAGGTGGTCAAGAAGCATGCAGCATGCTTGCCTTCTTTGGCAGGGGCATTGAATATAAAAGTCGGCAACTTGTGTTATGGCTTTATAAAACTTTAGTTAGGCCACATTTGGAATATTGCATGCAGTTCTTGTAGCCACGCGACCAGAAGGATGTGGATACTTTGGAGAGAGTGCACAGAAGGTTTGCCAGGATGTTGCTTGGTCTGAAGGGTTTTAGTTGTGAGGAGAGGTCGGATAAACTCAGATTGTTTTCATTGGATAGATAGAGGCTAAGAGGCGACCTGATAGATGTCTACAAAATTACGAGAGGCAAAGATATGGTGGATTGTCAGAGTCCTTCTCCCAGGGTGGAAAGGTCAATTACAAGAGGGCATAGGTTCAAGGTGAGAGGGGGAAGGTTTAGGGGAGAAGTGCAAGGAAAATTTTAAGCACAGAGGGTGTGGGTACCTGGAATGCACTGCCAGTGGAGGTGGTGGAAGCAGGCACGTTAGCAACATTTAAGGCATATCTTGATAGATACATGAACGGGAGGCAATAGAAACTGCGTTTAGGCCATAAGCAGTGGTTTAAATAAGGACTAGGAATCAACAGGCTTGGTGGGCTGAAAGATTTGTTCCTGCACTGTATTGTTTTTTGTTCTTTGAAAGCTTGGTTTCTTAGCTTTAAGATAATATTGTTGCTGTTTAAATGGAATGTTGTTTTGAAACTCCTGACTGGATTTTCTGCCTCCCTTGCAGTTGTGGAAAGGGCTGGAAAATTGCTGTACATGCCCTACTATCATGTGCAACACTCCAATTTCATGCTCCCAGACCGGAGCAGTGCATATTATACTTGTCCAATAAAGGGCAGATACATTGAAACAATACTAAATGGTGGAATCCTCCAGTGCATGTCACAGGATTTGTGTCTTTATAAAGCTCAGGATACGGTGATGGGTTCAATGAAAAGAAGGGGAAGGAGGCACTTGTAGAGATTAAACAGCAATAATTAGGCCAAGTGGTCTTTTTCTGTGCTGTAAATGCCAAGAGAGACACGTGTTAGTTGTGGCCCTTCTATTCCATCATTGATATAGTGACGGAAAAAGCCCAAAGTTATTGTTCTGCCAGATCTGAGCAATCGCTCACAGAACAATGGAAAAGAAACTAAATCTTATGGAGGTATTTGTGTCCCTCTGCTTCCAGTGTAATGGTACTCCCTCGTGGAGAATGGAGAGATCCCTATTAATAATAATGTTGAAGTCAGGGATAGGTTTGCAGTCAGGAGTGCATCTGCATAATGGGGAATCCACGTGAAGCAGCAGCAAAAGATACCGCCTTCCATTGTTTCTAAAAACAAGTAATTTGTGGTGACATACTCACTCAAACACAGAATTGAGAGGTAACACCACAACCTAAAAGGAATTCTTGAAAGCAGACTTTTATTTAGAAAGTAAAAACTTGGACAGCTGGATTTTAAGGGCACTTTGAAATCAAGATTCCCCTTTGAAAGGGAGACTGATGATGTGATTCCTTCTTTGCTGAACATAGCACTGACAAAGTAATATTTCTTCATGTCCCATGAACTGGTGTCTTGCCCAATCAGTCCTTTCTAAGGAAATACATGTCTTTCTGAATCTGAATTTAACCTCTGAGGTATGAAAGCACAATATCTGAAACTGTGCTTCTCTACTTTTCTGTTGCAGTTGTTCCATATGAGATCACTGTTTACACCTCTGATATTTATGGAGCTGGCACTGATGCTGATGTCTTCATCGTCCTTTATGGAAGAGATGGCGTTTGTACCCATCAGAAGTCTTTATGTGTTAACAAGCGGGAGCGAAAGATGTGCTTTGAAAGAGGCGCTGTAAATAAGTTTGTTGTAGAGGTGCACACATATTTCTTTTAAAATTTAAATCACATTGTTTAGTTTAAAAAGTTGAGTTCACTGTGACCAGTGATGTTATTGAGCTTGCCCAGAACTATCCAATCAATTTGTAGTATTATCCTAAATAAAAACCAAAAGAACTGCGGATGCTGGAAATCAGAAACAAAAACAGAAATTGCTAGAAAAGGTCAGCAGGTCTGGCAGCATCTGTGGAGAGAAATCAGAGCTAATGTTTTAGGTCCAGCGACTCTTCTTCAGAACTGTACTAATATCCTAATTGATTACTGTGAGGTACTTGAGAGACTGGGAGAATGCAGGTACACAGATCACTAAAATGTCATGAACAGGAGCATAAAATGAGGGGGGAGATGGTGCTATAGTGGTAACGTCACTGAGAAACCTAGGTTAACGCTCTGGGTACAAGTATTAAAATCTCCCCATGATGGTTGGAGGAATTTAATTTCACTTCATTCAATTTCACTAATGTCTTTCAGGGAAGAATATTCCATGGCCTCACCTGGTCTAGCCTCCATGTACCTCCAGATCTTCAGCAATGTAGTTGCTTCTTAACTGCCCTCTGATTTGGCCCAGCAAGCCACTCAGTTCTAATAATCAATACACAGTCTCAACAAAGAAACGAAATCAAACAGACCTCCTGGCATCAATCTTAGAGACCAGAAACAACAATGGCAAAAACAGCACTGTTGACCCTGCAAAGTCCTCCTTGCTAATCTGGGGCTAGTGCCAAAATCAGGAAAGCTCTCACAGACTAGTTAAGCAAGAGCCTGGCATGGTCGTACTCATAGATTCATACCTGACAGACAATATCCCAGACACCACCATCACCATCCCTGGATATGTCCTGTCCCACTGGCAGGACAGACCCAGCAGAGGTGGCCGTATGGTGGTATATAGTTGGAAGGGAGTTGCCTTGGGGGTCATCAACATTGACTGCGGACCTCATGAAGTCTCACGGCTTCAGGTTAAACATAAGCAAGGAAACCCCCTGCTGATTACCACATACTGTCCTCCCTCAGCTGATGAATCTGTACTCCTCTATGTTGAATAACACTTGGAGGAAACACTGAGGGTGGCAAGGGCACAAAATGTACTCTGGGTGGGGGATTTCAATGTCTGCTATCAAAAGTGGCTCAGCAGCAGTACTACTGATTGAGCTGGTCAGGTCCTAAAGGACATAGCTGCTAGACTGGGTCTGCAGCAGGTGGTGAGGGAACCAACAAGAGGGAGAAACATATTTGACCTCATCCCTACCAATCTGCCATTGCAAATGCGTCTGTCCATGACAGTATCAGTAAGAGTGATCGCTGCACAGTCCTTGTGGAGACGAAGTCCCATCTTCACATTGAGAATACCCTCCATTGTGTGTGTGGCACTATCACTTGTGCTAATTGGGACATGCTATGAACAGATCTAACAACTAAAAAAAAGACATCTGTGAGGTGCTGTGGGTCATCAACAAAATCATACACCAACACAATCTGCAACCACATGGCTCATCATATTCCCCCACTCAACCATAAGCATTAAGCCAAGGGATCAACACTGGTTCAATGAAGAGTGCAGGAGAGCATGCCAGGAGCAGCACTAGGGGTACCTCAAGATGAGGTGTCAACCTGGTGAAGCTACCAATCAGGACAACTTGCATGCCAAACAGCATAAGGGGCAAGTGAAAGACAGAACTAGCAATCGCCCAACCAATGCAGTCTTTCCACAGCCATCTGGTCATGAATGGTGGTGGACAATTAAACAACCTCACTGAAGGAGGAAGCTTCATAAATAACGCTATCTTCAATGATTGAAGAACCCAACACATCAGTGCAAAAAATAAGGCCAAGGCTTCCTAACAATCTCCACAAAGATGTGCTGAGGGGATGATCCATCTCGGACTCCTCCAGTGATCCGCAGCATCACAGGTGCTAGTTTTCGGCCAATTCAGTTCACTTCATGTGATATCAAGTAACGATCAGAAGTATTGAATACTACAAAGGCTATTGGCCCTGACAATATTCCTGCAAAAGAAGTAAAGATATATGCTCCAGAACTTGCCGCTCTCCTAGCCAAGCTGTTCCAGTACAGTTACAACTCTGGCATCTACACGACAGTATGGAAAATTGCACAGATATGTCCTGTACACAAAAAAACAGGACAAATCCAATCCAACCAATAACCACCCCATCAGTCTACCTTGATCATCAGTAAAGTGATGGAAGGTGTCAGTAACAGTGCTATCAAGCAGCACCTGCTCAGCAATAACCTGCTCAGTGACGCCCAGTTTGGGTTCCGCTAGGGCCACTCAGCTTCTGACCTCATTACAGCCTTGGTTCAAACATGGACAAAAGAGCCAAATTCCAGAGGTGAAGTGAGAGTGACTGTCCTTGACATCAAGGCCACATTTGACTGAGTGTGCCATCAAGAAGGCCTAGTAAAACTGGAATCAAAGGGTATTGGGGGCAAAATCTATACTGGTTGGGGTCATACCTGGCACGTAGGAAGATGGTTGTGGTTTTTGGTGGTCAATCATCTCAGCTCCAGGACATCTCAACAGGAGTTCCTCAGGGTAGTGTTCTAGGGCCAATCATCTTCAACTGCTTCACCAATGACCTTCCCTCATAAGGTCGGAAGTGGGAATGTTTGCTGATGATTGCATAATGTTCAGCACCATTCGTATCTCCTCAGATACAGAAGCAATCTATGTTCAAGGTAACTAGATCTGGACAATATCCACGCTTGGGCTACAAGTGGCAAGTAACATTCATGCCACACAAATGCCAGGCAATGACCATCTCTAATGAGAGACAATCTAGCCTCCATCCAGTTACCATCACTGAATACCCCACTATCAATGTCCTGGGGGTTACCATTGACCAGAAACTCAACTGGACTCGCCAATATAAACACAGTGACTACAAGTGCAGGTCAGAGACTAGGAATACTGTGGCGAATAACTCACTCACTGACTCCCCAAAGTCCATTCACTATCTACAAGCCACACATTAAGTGTGTGATGGAATGTTTTCTAATTGCCAGGATGGGTGCAGATTCAACAATACTTAAGAAGTTTAACACTGTGTGGGACAAAGCAGCCTGGTTGATTGGCACTATATCCACAAGCATCCCCTCCCTCCACCACTGACACTCAATCGCAGAAGTGTGTACTATCTACCAGATTCGCCAAAAATCCTTAGACTTCAAAACCTACGACCACTTCCATCTAGAAGGACAAGGGCAGTAGATACGTGGGAATACCACCACCTGCAAGTTTCCCTCCAAATTGCTCACTATTCTGACTTGGAAATGTATCACCGTTCCTTCACTGTCACTGGGTCACAATCCTGGAACTCCTGCCCTAATCACATTGTGGGTCTACCTACAGCATGTGGACTGTAATGGTTCAAGAAGGCAGCTCGCCACCACCTTCCCAAGGGAACTAGGCATGGGAAACAAATGCTGGCCCAGCCAATGACACCCAAGTCTCATAAGCGTATTTAGACTCCCAGAAGGCATTTGACAAGTAACCTCACAAGACATTAAATCATAAGAGCACACAGCAGTGGAAGTAGTATATTGGCTCATGGGGATAAAGGGTTATTTTTCAGCTTGGCAACCTGTGACCAGTGGGGTTCTACAGGGATCAGTGCTGGGACTGCAACTGTTTACAATGTATATTAATGACTTGGAGGAAGCAAGTGAATGTACTGTAGGCAGATTTGCAGATGATACAGTAATATGTGGAAAGGCAGGTTGTGAGAGGGATACAGTTTACAGAGAGAGAGACAACAGTGTGGAGCTGGAGGAACACAGCAGGCCGGCAGCATCTGAGGAGCAGGAAAGTTGATGTTTCGGATCGGGAACCTTCTGTTTTTCTGAAGAAGGGTCCTGACCTGAAACGTCAACTTTCCTGCTCCTCTGATGCTGCTTGGCCTATTGTGTTCATCTAGCTCTACACCTTGTCATCTCTAGATACGTCTTGGCAGTTGGACAACGGGTTAATAGACTTTTGTAGACAAACTTCTCCTAAGTGCTACCACAAAGGAAACCTGACACCACTCAGACAAACAAAGGATCTCTGACCCCCTAAGGATACCTGATGTGCCCGCATCCCTCCTGCTTCAAAGGATCCTTGACCCGCATCCTCAAGGTGTACTGGGATCAGATCCAAAGGATATCCGAAATAACTTTGAGGAAAATATTAATATATTTTTAACATGCTGATAGAATCACCTTTCCTTTTAGTTGGAGGATGTTGGTGAGTGCATCGAGAAGATTCGAATTGGACACGATGGTCGAGGCATCAACTCTGGGTGGCACTTGGACCGTGTGGAAATCCGACGACTCCTGCAGAAGGGGAAGGTCAGTGAAACTATAGATAATAGTTTAAATTCAAACATGTCAAATAGCTTTCTGGATGAAATATTACTGATGTTGATATAATAGCAAATTTAATTTCTCCCCCCGGAGAATGTGTCTAATGTGTTTGCATAAAATTCCATTGTGTACTACGTGAGTGTGGGAGTGTGGGGGGAAGTGGCGAGGGTTTCTATGCCAATTCAGCCGGGTCGATTTGGGTGGTTTGGTGAGAGCCAAGTGGCTGCCAGTTTATAAGGTGACCTGGATGGAAAGGCTGCCTCCAGGCCCCAGAATTGTATTTAAAATTAACCATAGAGATAAACATAAACATAAAGATTATAACATCCTTCCTGCTCGCAGCCCCAAATTCCTATCGCACTCCATTCTCCATCCATGTCAACCACTATGCCAAATGTGCCCTTGTACCTACCTCTGATGCTATCATAGTCAATATCCCATGGTCCCTCATGCCCCAAATGCCCCCATACATCCCAAAGGCCCTTTCTAAACCCCCTTGCCAACTCAATGCTAACTCATAAACCCACTATTGCTCTTCTCTTTCCATGCCAAGCACCTAAAATTCAGCATGGCATTAAGTAGGAGGCATCCTGACAGAAAATAAAGTTATCAGTCGATTGGTGATTTTACTATTTAGAAAAAAAACCCCAAAAATGCAATAAACTACAATAAACTATTCAACTAAAACAATTAACTAATCACTCATGGCAACAAACAGTTTGCGTAAGTGTTCAAACTCTAATATAAAAAAACCTCATGTTTTTTAATTGTTCAGTGCTTAATCATTATATCAATAAACATTTCCATCCAATTAACAATTGGAGCAGTCCATCAATAGGCACCCCATAATGAAAGTGAGAGTTTGGGAAATCAATCATCCAGTAAAAATCCTGTAATTGATTTGTGTGAACAGATAACCTGAAATACCTAGCATCTTTGTTTTAACTCCACACATTTTTTCGTCTAATTCCTTGACAGTTCTGTGAGTTTCAATGAGTTTATACACTTTTCAGACACAAGCATGCCTTTTCACTGTCCATAGAAGTCTCAGAACTGGATCCTTCTCCAAACCAGCCAAATGTAAAATATTCCTCTAGCTCTCAGTCCTCACACTCCCTCATGATTCCTTATCTTCAAAGACTCTCCACGTCCCACCAATACTGATCCTTGCACCTAATGCTCTGTGCTCATCCCTATAGCCCCTCATAACCTGTATGCAGCTCGGTGCCTTCTAGCCCTCTTTGTGACCCCTCAAACTTCTATGACAGTGTGCCAACATAGTGCCAACGTCCACCACCCACACTTTTCTACTTCACCAGCGTGCTAACACATTTGGTATACACACATACCCATGCACATAACAGAAAAAATAAAGATCAATTGCCTAATATTCTATAGTGCAGTTTACACCCAACTCTTAGTCATAAAACACTTCTAGATACTTCTTGGCAGTTGGACAGTTCCAAGGGACTTATGGACCTTTCATAGCCAATCAAAAATTAACAGTTCTGAAGGGTACCCTACATGTCACCTTCAAAATATACATGACAGCTACCCACCCACGCAAAGGATCCCTGATCACCAAAGGTACTGGACGTGCCCATATCCTTTCTAAGCAAACACTCCCTGACCCGCCATCTCCAAGTTGTACTGTGTCCAGATCCAAAGGATATCCAAAATAACTGCTCTTGCTTGATCTGTCTCCACGTTCTGAGTTCCAGACACCAGAGGCTCCAATTTAAATAGTCAGCTGTCTCCAGGAGCTGCATACCTGAGAACTATGGAGCACCCACGTGGGAATAAAATTAAATAACAGAGAGAATTCAATTTTGAATTATTTTTCATGCATGTGAAAAGGCTAAACAAGTCTTTAACTTTAAAATTCAAATAATATATTTGTTTATACAGCATCTTGCATGGCTTCAGGATGTTGTGATCTGTTTTAGAACCAAATAACTATTTTAGAAATATATTCAATGTTTTGGAGGATAAATGGCAGTTAACTTATGAATAGTCATGCATCAAAAACATTAATGAGGTGGGTGGCTAAGTAATAGTTCCTTGGTTTTATTGATTGAAGTACAGGTGTTGGCCAGAACATCCACTGTGTCCTTCTTCAAATAATTTAATATCTGTCTGGGAGCAGACAGTATCTCCAATAATACTGTGCTTCTCCAAAATGCAGTGAGGCATTTGAATGGATCATATGGTTGAATCCTGCAGTAAGGGTTGAACCTATGACTTTCTGAACAAGAGTACGACCACCAAGTCAAGAAATTTAGAACAGTGAATTTGCATATATGGCCAGCTTTATCCTCTGTTCTAATTGCATGCTAGGGCTCAGCGACAATTATTTTCCCCTGTGAACGCTGGCTGGCAAAGTCCGAAGATGATGGAGAAATCATCCGAGAGCTGGTGCCTTTGGAGATCATTCAAAAGAAGCTGCTGAAAGATGGGACACTGAAGCATAGTGAGTCTACAGTGGACGATGCCCTGGAAAGTGAGTATATTATTTGTACGCTGAAGGGGAGTTGACAAATAGAAGATGAGTGAAAGTTTTGGTTCTTTCGGGTCAGTGCCGTGAACTGTTACCTCTGCCTCTTTCCCCGGAGATGCTGCCAGACTTGCTGGGTGTTTCCAGCTTGTGAATGTATTTCCAGCATCTGCAATATTTCACTTTTATATGGGTCTGAGATGCTTGTACCAAGGAATAACAGGACACGGTGTCACAGTTATGATCTGCCATATTCCTCTTCAGTTTACTACCTGCTGCTTTACATGATGAGAGTGAATATTCAGTTAATATCATGAAGTGTGCCTAAGAGGGGGAAAAAAAACAGGTTTATCTCTTTATGTCTTCTTCTGAAATAACTGACTGCCTCCCTGGGCAATAAGTCTGTGAATATAGTATTCGAAATAAACAATGCAAGAAATTAAAACTAATATTAAGACCAGAGATAGTAGGAACTGCAGATGCTGGAGAATCCGAGACAACAAGGTGCAGGGCTGGATGAACACAGCAGGCCAAGCAGCA